CCCATTTCTTTCCCAGACTCCCTCGCTCCTGTTTCTATGGCACGTTGATCAGCATCTTAGCAATTCAACCTTGACACAAGGTGATGCTGGAATTACTGTTTGCCTGGTTTTTTTTTTTTATGTGTGGTGCAGATATGTCAGTTGCACAATCCTGGCTGCCATCTTAACTTTTTGAGCCTATCCTGAATAAACCCCGTGAACCTTTTTTTTACTCTCCCCCCTCCCAGTCTCTGCCCAGGATGTTCTCACTTGTGTTATGAGGGGAAAGGTATTCCCTGCAGAGGAGTGCATGTATCCATAATATTTGCACAATAGTTGACACAGTGCTGCAAATGAAGTCCTGCCCCCTTTCTAAATATTGAATGTTTACTTTATTCTTAGCCTTGGCTTCTTGAACAAACTCAGGCTAATCAGCTGTTTGTTTCCGTGCTAGTCAAATGTTCTATCTAGGAAGAACTTTCCAATTGCTTGTCTACGGGAGCTACTTGAAGCTTCCTGATTCCGTCCTTGTCTCAAAACAGGACTGGCAAAGACTTGCTTTAACAGAATAACAGAGTTGGAAGAGACCTTGTGTTGTGCCGGATCTAAGGTGTGGCTTGATAACAAATACAAGAAACCGGAAGCTGCTTTTAAGCTTACGTGCTTATTCAGCTGAACAAAGATGGGCTCCTCTAAAAAGAGGAAGCCCCAAATGACAAGAAATCCTTGTATTTATACTTTTTGATTACATAAGCCCGTGGTGGCGAACCTATGGCACATGTGCCACAGGTGGCACGCAGAGCCCTCTCTGTGGGCACACGCACCATCGCCCCAGTCCTAGGCCTTCAGCTGGGTTTTATAAAACCTTTTCGCTTTAGGCCTCTGCCGCTGTGTGCAAAAAAAAAAAAAAAAGAAGGTTCAATCAATCAATCAATCAATTTCAACTTCTTGCGGAGAAAAAAAGATCTCGCTAAGTTGGAATTGATTGATTGAACTTTTTAGTCCTACCCAGACTGTCGTTACCACCGCAGCCATGCTCACCCAATGGGCCACTGCCATCCAATGGGTCATGCCCACCCGGCACCCGACGATACATAAGTGGGTTTTGGGTTGCGGTTTGGGCACTCGGTCTCTAAAAGGTTCACCATCATTGACATAAGCAATCCACCAGCAAGGCTGGTAAACATAAGAATTCACCCAGAAAGGCTGGTATATTATAGATAAGATGCGAGAGAACAGAAATAATAATAATAAAGTTGGAAAGGACCTTGGAGGTCATCTAGTCCAACCCCCTGCTCAGGCAGGAAACCCTATACCATTTCAAACAAATGGCTATCCAGTCTCTTCTTAAAAACTTCCAGTGTTGGAGCATTCACCACTTCTGGAGGAGTGTTCTCGGATGTCTTGGGACATTGGATGTTTCCTTGATGACCTTCCATGGCCCTGCAAGTATCCAGAGATAGTGGGGTGATCTGAACATATACACAAGCTATGCTTTCTCCTGATTTCTGATCAACAGTTGGAGGTCATCTAGTCCAATCTCCTGCTCAGGCAGGAAACCCCATATCATTCAGACAACTGGTTGTCCAATCTCTTCTTAAAAACTTCCAGTGTTGGAGTGTTCACAACTTGCCTCCAGAATGCTTTGATATTCTGGAGAGGATCATTTGCCACTGTATTGAGCTGAATGCCTCAAATATAGCACAGGTAGTCCTTGACTTATGACCAGGATTGGGACTAGAATTTCAGTGAGTCATGCCCTATTTTATGATCTTTTCCACCATGGGTGTTAAGCAAATCATTGTGACTGTTAAGTGAATCACACGATCGATAAGCAAATCCAACTTTCTCTATTGACTGCCTGTGGAAACTGGACATGAAGGTCTCCACTCATGATTACATGACCCCAGGATTCCGCAACCATTGTAAATACATGTCAGTTGCCAAACACCTGAATTTTAATCACATGATCCTTGGGATACTGCGACAGGCAGGAAGACTCGTGAA